AGATTTTAGATTTTGCTCTGTACTCCCTAGACAGACATAGAATTGACTAGTGAGTCATACTGCCCAAATAGAAATAACAGAGCATCATGGAGCCTTAGAGATGACTATGAGAAATATGCCAAGTGTAAACTTTGTTGCCATAGTTTTTTAAAAAATAATGTTGGTCTGGGCACCTGGGTGGCTCAGTTGGTAAAGTGACTGCCTTCGGCTCGGGTCATGATCCTAGAGTCCCGGGATTGAGTGCCATATCAAGCTCCCTGCTCAGCAGGGAGTCTGCCTGTCCCTGTGACTCCCCCCTCTCATGTTCTCTCTATATCATTCTCTCTCTCAGTAAATAAATAAAAAATAATGTTAGTTATTTATTATTTATTAATTAGTTTGATTTATAGATGAAATCATATTAGAGGTAGTTATAAAACATCATAGTGTCTAACAGTGCTACACACATAATAAGAGTTGAGTGTTCAATTTGATGATTAAGAAAATGACTATGAGAACAAAATCTAGCATATCTTGAATCAAGAACAAACATAGCCTGGTGCCAGGATGAAATTCAGCCAGAGTTGGTATTCTTGAAGATTACAAAAAATAGCAGTAATTATATGACAAAACATTTTGCACAAATAAGAACTATTAAATTTTGAGAAGTGACCTAAATATTAATTATTTAATTCAATTTTTTTATTTTCAAAAACAGTTAAATAATCTTACAGATAAATTGTATTTATATAAGTTAGCTTTTATGAAAAATTGTTTCAGTTAATCCTCATAATTTGAAAGAAAATTGAGAGGGGAAGATAACTAATGAAAACTAAAAATGTAAAGATGAGAAAACCAGAACACTGAAAAGAGTATTTGTGCTGTTGGTGGGAATGCAAACTGGTACACCACTGTGGAGAATAGTATGGGGAGTCCTCAACAAGTTAAAAATAGAACTACTCCACGATCCAGCAGTCACACTACTGGGTATTTATCCAAAGAATACCAGAACACTGATTCAAAGGGATACACACACTTCTGTGTTTATAGCAGCATTATTTCTAATAGCCAGGATATGGAAGCAGCCCAAGTGTCCATCGATAGATGAATGGATAAAGATGTGGTATATATAATGGAATATTATTCAGCTATAAAAAAGTCTGAACTCTTGACATTTGCAATGACATGGATGGAGCTAGAGAGTATAATGCTAAGTGAAATAAGCCAAAGACAAATATCATATGATTTCACTCATATGTGGAATTTAAGACACAAAGCAAACAGTAAAGGGAAAAAAATAAGAGAGAGAGAGGGAGAAAAAGACAAAGCAAGAAATAGACTCTTAATTACAGAGAAAAATCTGATGTTAACCAGAGGGGAGGGTGGTTGGGTGTTGGATTAAATTGTAATGGGGATTAAGGCGTGTACTTGTGGTAAGTACCGGGTGATGTATGGAACTCTTGATTTACTGTGTTGTACACCTGAAGCTAATATAACACTGTATGTTAACTAATTGGAATTAAAATAAAAACTTAAAAAAAGACAAAAAGAGTGTTAAGGCATTTTGTGTAGAAAAAGATCATCTCATTTAGTAATAACTTATGAAATAATCATGAGGTGTTTATTATAATTTTTATTTTTATAGTGGTCCAAGAAAGAAGAATTAAGGTTAAAAAGGCTTCACATTATTTGAGTAAGATGGAAATGACAATGTAAGGATTAACAGGTAGACATGCAACCATTTAAAATCAATAAATTTTGCTTTATCTAGAAATTCTTGAGAGCAAGACAGAAATAGACCAGCATGCTCCTTGAGTAGATTAGGTCTCATCTTATGTGAACATACAGATCTGAACTTCATGACATACTGAAATTTTCCTGAAATAACACTTTCTTCAGGCCATTAAAAGTTGAAATATGAATATGAAATGCTTGCAAATGAAAGAAATGGCACTCTGTCCAATGAACTGTAGTGTGTCTTAGTAGAAGGACATTCTCCATGGAAATTATTTCATTGAGTTATAATGAGTGTAGAAAATAAGATATGGTAATTTGCATGGTATTGAGTTGAAAATTTAAAAATAGTAATCTTTTTCTTTTTTTGTGAGAGGTATAGTAGAATAGCTGTCTAAACTTGAAAATTTAAAAATAGTATTAGTAATCTTTTTCTTTTTTTGTGAGAGGTATAGTAGAATAGCTGTCTAAACACTAGAGTTAAAAGAGTTGAATCATTTAAATATGAAAGTTGAGAATACCAGTACTAACTTCTGATTAGTTAGTATTAGTCTGTAGACTGGTTGCTCTTTAGGCCTTTGTACAATTTATTCTTAGATTTAATTGTTCTTCCATGAGAGTAGATTTGTCTCCTATTATAGTGTTCCTCCTTTTGTTTCACTCTCATTTTGTCAAAGCCATCCTTTAATAGTTTCCCCAAAATAGTACAAAAGTGGTAAAGTTTTGAGTCCTAGCATGCCTGAAAATGTTGTTAATCTAGCTCCACACTTGATTGGTATTTTCTCTGGGCAAAGGGATTTAACCTCTGCATTTTGAAGGCATAATCTGCTCACTTTCTGGGATTGCTGTTGAGAAGTTCAGTGGCATTTTGAACTTAATGCCTTTGTATTTTACCTGTTTTTTCTCTTTGGAAATTCTTAGGTGCTTTTCTGTCCCCTATACTGGAATTTCACTGTGATATTCATTTATTTTACAGTTCACCCAGTGGTACTCTCAATGTGGACACTCATATCTAAAGTTCTGGGAATTTTTCCAATAACTTTTAAAAAAGAAATTTTCATTCCTGTTTTCCCTCTTTTCTTTCTTTTTGGAACTACTGTTAGCTACATAATTGTTGAGATTGATGCCTGATATTTTAATATTTATTCTCCTATTGTCCATTGGTTTATCTCTTTATTCTAGTTGCTAGGAGATATTCTTGATTTAGTTTCTAACCTATCAATTTTAATTGTTTTCAACTTTTATATTTTGAATGTCTAAAAGTTCTTTCTTGTCTAAAATATTTTTCACCTTTTTTTTTTCAGATTTCATTTTGTTTAGTAGTATCCTGTTCTTTATTCAACTCCTAAAAATATTAATGATAACTTTGTAGAGTTCTCATCTGTTGCTTGTACTGTCTGTGTTTATTTGGAGTTCCTTTTATGTTTGTATTCATGTATATATATTTCCTCAAATATCTGGTGGTTGGACTCTTCATTTATATTTAAGGTAGAGGCACTAAACTGAATTAGAAACTTTTTATTTGCAGTGATGGATTTCATTCCAAGAAAATAGGACCTCTGAGGGTTTTGTTTTTTTTTTTTTTCTTTGAGAGATTCCCAGATCAGTGTTTCAGGATCCTTTGAGGGGGGGTGTGTGTGCAGATATACTTGCTACTGGTCATTTTCCCTTCTATTGGCACCTAGGTTTTGGTGTTCTGTCTTTTGCTAAGTCAGTTATCATCCTTTGTTTCCTTTTCATCTCTATGAAACCATTCACATGTGTTGCTCTCTATTGCTTTTTTCTTCATTTCTCTTGTCCTTATTAATTTATACCCTTTTTATTCATTTACTGTCATTTTAGTGCCATTTCCAAAGGGCATAGAGATAAATGCATGTCTTTGATATGCTAGATTTAACCAGAAGTTAGTAGATATTTTAAAATATCACAGGAATCTTTTATATCATTACTTAGTATTTATAATTATTATTTTAAAGAACTCTATAACAATTCTGCCGAATAAAGATACTGTGCTTTACCCAGCTGTTCTTCTGTTGTGACTTTAGGTTACTCTTGAATCAAAAAGCATCTTTCATAGCCATTAATAAATCAGACATTATGTGAAAAAATGCAGATACGATGTTGTTTTTCTAAGCTCTATTCATTGATTTTTTTTCCTATTCATTGATTTTTAAATTTTAAATCTGTTATATACATTTACTCTTGTCAAAATAGTTATGTAGTAAGAGCATTACACTGTTCTCTCTTAGAAAGTAACCTGTTGTAGTAATTCTTAGAAAAAAAATGAATATTTGTTCATACTTAACTACACTGGTGTTTTTGTGGTATGTGAAAAGCATACACATTAATAAACAAACCTTTGTATAGGGTGCCTGGGTGGCTCAGTTGGTTAAGCGACTGCCTTCGGCTCAGGTCATGATCCTGGAGTCCCGGGATCGAGTCCCACGTCGGGCTCCCTGCTCAGCGGGGAGTCTGCTTCTCCCTCTGACCCTCCCCCCTCTCATGCTCTCTCTCTCTCTCTCTCAAATAAATAAATAAAATCTTAAAAAAAAAAACACCTTTGGATAGATTTTAAATATACTGATATCTTAATTTGTTAATAAAGAGTATGGATTTTTTGGGTATAATTGAATTTTAGACTTAGTATTTGCTTTCATAAAAATTAGTTATATTTGTATCTAGTAAAATGAATCAAAATGAATTTTCAGTTATATATATTTTTACAATTTTTAAAATAGGCTTTCTGTTATTTATATTGATGTTTACTTTGAAATTTATCATCCTACTTGAACATCAGTTTCAAAATAATTGAATAATTAGGCACATAATTCTATTGTATTATATACTCACTTCAGTAATCATTAATAAGAAGATTGTGTCTTTATTTTGAAAGCTTTTTAAAATTAGTTTTTATTTTGTGTTATATTTTATTACAGTGGTTAGCTTTTTTCTGTGCATGCTTTTGGTACATTCATACCATGCATACCATGATATAGGATTAAATAATTTTACTGCAGACAAAACAGAAGTGTGTAATGCATAACTTTTATAATAGAACTTTGGGTCATGATTATGTTGTGAAAACTAATAATAAATAATATGTAAAATTTTACTGTAACAGTAAGGAGAACATGGGTATAGTTCTTCTCTGCCATCCAGGATTAAGTTTGAAATAATACAGATTTAATGTTTGTCATCTCTTTTCTTGATTATAAATAATATATACATATACATTTTTAAAGGTTTTTGTTTTTTTTGTTGCTGTTCTTGTTTTTTGTTTTTTACAGTTACCTGCCATGGTTTGAAGTATATTACAAGCTTCTTAATACTCTGGCAGATTACTTGGCTAAGGAACTGGTAAGCTATATTTTTTTCCCCAATTTTTTCTAATGTTGTAAAATACACATTTGCCATTTTAACTATCCTGAAGTGTACAGGTCTGTGTCATTAAGCACATTCACATTGTTCTGTGCCACCATCAGCATCATCATCTCTAGAACTTTTCTGTCTTCCCAAATTGAAACTCTGTGCCCCACTGAACAACTTTCCTTTCTCCTCCCCTGAGTCCCTGGCAATAATCATTGTATTTTTTGCCTTCATGAATTTGACTGTGTACCTCATGTAAGTAGAATCATATAATACTTGTTCTTCTGTGACTAGCTTCTTTCCCTTAGCACATTTTCAGGGTTCATCCATGTTGTAGCAGGTGTTAGAATTTCTTTCTTTTTTAAGGCTGGATAAAATTTCATTATATGTGCACACCACATTTTATTGATCTGTTCATCTATAGATGAACAATTGGGCTGTTGGGGACAGTGCTGTTAGGAACATGGGTGTACAAATATCTGTTTGAGTCACTGTATTCAGTTCTTTTCAGTATATACCCAGAAGTGGAATTGCTGAATAATATGGTAATTCTATGTTTAACTTTTTGAAGGACTGCCATAATATTTTTCACATGGTGTCACCATTTTACTTTCCCAGCAGCAACACACAAGGTTCCAATTTCCCTACATCCTCCCCAACACCTGCTACTTTCTGTTTTGTTTTTGTTTTATTGAAGTATTATTTACATACAGTATATTAATTTCAGGTGTACAGCATAATAATTTGACATTTGTGTACATTGTGAAATATTATTACAGTAACTCTAGTTAGCATCTGTCATTACCAGCTAAACAAAGTTACAGATTTTGTGTATGTGTGAAATGGGAACTTTTAAGATTTACTTTCTTAGGGGCACCTGGGTGGCTCAGTTGGTTGAGCGACTGCCTTCGGCTCAGGTTGTGATCCTGGAGTGCCTGGATCGAGTCCCGCATCGGGCTCCCTGCTCGGCGGGGAGTCTGCTTCTCCCTCAGACCCTCCCCCCATCTCGTGTGCTTTCTCTCTCATTCTCTCTCTCTCTCAAATAAATAAATATCTTAAAAAAAAAAAGATTTATTTCTTAGTATCTTTCAAATTTGCAACAATATTATTGACTATAGTCACCATGCTGTACATTATATGCCCTGCACTTATTTATGTTGTAAGTGGAAGTTTGTACCTCTTGATCCCTTCACCCATTGCACCCATCCCCCAACTTTTTCCACTCGAACAAGCATCAATCTAATCTGTTCTCTGTATCTGTGAGTTTTATTTTGTTTTGTTTTATTTTGTCTGTTTGCTTTGTTTTTTAGATTCCACATGTAAGTCAAATCATATGGTGTTTGTCTTGCTCTGACTTATTTCACTTAGCATAAGTGCCCTCAGGGTCCAATTATGTTGTCACAAATGGAGAGATTTTGTTCATTTTTAATGGCTGAATAGTGTTCCACTGTGTGTGTGTGTGTGTGTGTGTGTGTACACACTACCTCTTTATCCATTCATTCATTGATGGACACTTAGGTTGTTTCCATATCTTGGCTATTGTAAATCATGCCTCACTAGACATAGGGGTGCATGTATATTTTCAAATTAGTGTTCATTTGTTCTTCAGATAAATACCCAGAGATGGAGTTGCTGGATCACATAACAGTTCTAGTTTTGATTTTTTGAGGAACCTCCAAACGGTTTTCCATAGTGGCTGCACCAGTTTACATTTTTAGCAGTAGTGCACAAAGGCGCACATCCTTTTCTCCACAGCCTTGCCTATACTTGTTATTTCTTGTCCTTTTTGCAGTAACCATTATGACAGGTGTAAGGTGATAACTCATTGTGCTTTTGATTTGCATTTCCCTAATGATTAGTGATGTTGAGCATCTTTTCATGTGCCTATTGGCGATCTGTATGTGTTCTTTGGAACGATGTCTATTCAAATCTTAAGCCCATTTTTAAATCATTGTTTATTTTTTTGTTATTGAGTTGTATGAGTTCTTTATGTATTTTGGATATTAAACCCTTATTGTATACATGATTTGCAAATATCTTCTATTCAGTATATTACCTTTTAATTTTGTTGATGGTTTCTTTTACTGTGCTTTTTAGTTTGATGTAGTCTCATTTTCTTACTTTCTTTTTTCTTTTCTTTTCTTTTTTTTTTTTTTTGCTTTTGTTGCCATTGACTCTGAAGTCAGTTCCAAAAATTATCTCCAAGACTGATGTCAAGGAGCGTACTGCATATGTTTTCTTTTAGGAGTTTTATAGTTTCTGCTCTTATATTCATGTCTTTAACTGATTTTGAGTTAATTTTTGTGTGTGGTACAAGATAGTGGTCTAGTTTCATTCTTTTGCATATGACTGTCCAGTTTTCCCAACACCATTTTTTAAAGAGAATGTCCTTTTTCCATATTCTTACCTCCTCTGTGATAAATTAATGACCATGTATGTGTGGGCTCTCTGTTCCTTCCCACTAATTTTTGCCTATTTTTTTGCCAGTGGCATACTGTTTTGATTACTATATCTTGGTAATATAGTTTGAAATCAGGAGCATGATGCCTTTAGCTTTGTTGTTCTTTCTCAAGATTCCTTTGCCTATATGGGATCTTTTGTGTTCCATACAAATTTTTGAATTATTTATTCTAATTCTGTGAAAAATGACATTAGAACATTGATGGGGATTATATTGAATCTGTAGATAAAATGGTTAAAATGGATATTTTAATGTGGTCTTTTAATCCACAAAACCAGATTATCTTTCCATTTATAGTGTCTTCTTCAATTTCTTTCATCAGTGTCTTATAGTTTTTAATGTATAGGTCTTATACCTCCTTGGTTAAAATTTTTCCTAGGTATAATATATATTTATATAAATATATATTTATTCTTTTGATGCAATTATAAATGGGATTGTTTTCTTGATTTCTCTTTCTGATAGTTCACTGTTAGTGTAGAAACAACATATTTTTATATATCGATTTTGTATCCTGCAACTTTGCTAAATTTATTAGTTCTAACAGGTTTTTTTTTTTTTTGGTGGCATCTTTAGGGTTTTCTCTCTATATAGAAAATCATGCATCTACAAATAGTGACAGTTTTACTTCTTCCTTTCCAACTTGAATGTCTCTTATTTCTTTTTCCTGCCTACTTGGTCTGGCTAGGACTTTCAATACTATTTTGAATAAAAGTGGTGAGAGTGGGCATACTTGTCTTAGTCCTGATCTTAAAGGAAAAGCTTTCAGCCTTTTACTGTTGAGTATGATATTAGCTGTGGACTTGTCTTATATGGCCTTCATTATATTGAGGTACATTCTGTCTGTACCCACTTTGTTGAAAGTTTTTGTCATAAATGGATGTTGAATTTTGTTAAATGCTTTTTCTGCATCTATTGAGATGATCATATGATTTTTATCTTTCGTTTTGTCAATGTGGTATATCACATTGATTGATTTGCAGATGTTAGACCATCCTTGCATCCCTAGAATAAATCTCTCTTGATTATGGTGGATCATCCTCTTAATGTACTGTTAAATTTGATATACTTATATTTTGTTGAGGATTTTTGCATCTCTTTATCTGGGATATTGGCGTGTAATTTTCTTTTTTGTGTTGTTTTTGCTTGGTGTTGGTATCAGGGTAATGTTGACCTCATAAAATGAGTTTGGGAGCATTCCCTCCTTTTCAGTTTTTTGGGGAGTTCAAGGAGGATTGATATTAAATCTTCTTTGAATGTTTGGTAGAATTCACATGAGTAACCATCTGGTCTTGGACTTTTGTTTGTTGGAGTTTTTTGATTACTGATTCAGTCTTCTTACTAGTAAACAGTCTATTTAGATTTTCTATTTCTTCATGATTTGGTCTTGGAAGACTTTAAATTTATAGGAATTTATCGATTTCTTCTAAGTTGTTGAATTTGTTGGCATAAAATTGTTTAATCTCTTATGATCATTTATATATTCCTTTGGTGTGAGTTGTATCTTCTTTTAGTTTTGATTTTATTTATTTGAGAATGCTTTCTTTTTTTCCTTGTAAGTCTAGCTAAAGTTTGTCAATTTTGTTTATATTTTTAATGAACCAACTCTTAGTTTCACTGATCTTTTCTATCGCTTTTTAGTCCCTATTTCATTTATATGTGCTCTGATGTTTATTATTTCCTCCCTTCTACTAAGTTGGGGCTTCATTTGTTGTTTTCTTAGGTTTTTTTAGGTGCAAAGTTAGTTTGTATACCTGATATATTTCATGTTTCATGTGGTAGGCTTATATCACTATAACCTTTAAAACTATTTTGCTACATCCTATAGATTTTGGTGTGTTGTATTTTCATTTGTCTCAAGGTATTTTTTTAATTACTTTTTTTTATTTCTTCATTGAACCATTGGTCATGCAGTAGTATGTTGTTTAATCTCCATATATTTGATTTTTCCAGTTTTCTTCTTGTAATTGACATCTAGCTTTGTACCATTTTGGTTGGAAAAGATGTTTGATGTGGTTTTCTTGAATATATTGAGACATGTTCTGTAGCCTAACATATGAAATATCCTGGAGATTGTTTCATGTACACTTGAAAAGAATGTGTATTCTGCTGTTTGGGGATGTAATGTTCTTTTAATATATATTATATATAATATAATATATATATTATATATTATATATATTATATATAGCCCATCTGATCTAATGTGTCTCTTAAGGCCATTGTTTCCTTATTGATTTTCTGTTTGGCTGATCTGTTCTTTGATGTAACTGGGGTATTAATGTCTCCTGCTATTATTGTACTGCTGTCAGTTTCTCTCTTTACAAGTGTTATATCTTCTTGCTGGATTGACCCCTTTGTCATTATGTAATGCCCATCTTTATTTTTTATTACATTCTTTGTTTCAAAGCGTATTTTGTCTAAGTGTAGCTACCACACTTTCTTTTGGTTTCCTTTTTCATGAAATATCTTTTTCCATTCCTTCACTTCCAGTCTGTGTGTGTTATTACATATGGTGTGAGTGTCTTGT